TTAAAATATTTTATTAAAATTTTTTATTAATTAATATTTTATTTTAGAGAGAAATATTTAGCGAGACATAAAATGGTTTTCAATATTCAATAAATTATTTTATAATATTATTTAAAATAGTTTTATAGTTTATATTATTTATTTTATTTTATTTTAATTATATTAAAAAACTAGTATAGTAAGATATGTATCTGAATTAATAATATATAATGAAATAAGAGCCTCCTTTAGATTGATTGCAAAAGTATGGGCATATATATGTACAATAATTGTAAGTAAATTTCCAAATTTATTGGAAGGATCTATTTATAAGTACTATTCCGTTTTGTTTTTTTTTTATATACTAAATTACATATTAAAAGATGCTAAACTTTTTTCCTATTTAATTTAAATAATCTCCATACTTTGTTTTTTTTTATTATTTTTTTATTTATTTAGTGCATTAAGTACACGCTTTTTATTGTTTTTGTGACATATTTTGTTGTTATTTATAACTCCATATTTGTAATCATTATCAATTTTATAAGGTCTAAAATTGTTTCTCAGTAAAGACAAATGTGTACCAACAATTCTTAAGCTCACTAGCATTCAAAATCATTTCTAATATATATTAGTTCCCGTAGATCCTATGAGGCGCAAAGGGCCAGAAAGATAATGTCATTTATTATGATGACTTCAAAAATACAAAACCTCTGTAATTATTTTAGGTTTCCTCCATTGCAAACCTTTGCAATAAGATAACCAAAACCGAGAATTAAATTTCCAAGAGCAGCGTTCCTACTTTGGCAAGCTCAACTGTAGTTACTCAGACTGCTCCAGTTTTCAGATACCCATGAGACCCATGAGATAAAAATACTTCAACAAATGTTAAGCTTAACTCAAATAAGTGAATGTTTTAATTCTAATTAAATCAGAACAGATTTAAAACAAAACTGTAACTTAACTTTTATAATTGAACGTTATTGCGGCAATTGAGCCACCACTGCGTATGAGTGATTTTTTTATAAAAGTTATTTCTTTATGCATAGATTTATTGCAATAAATTTTATTATTGAATTTAATTTTTTAAAAAATATTTAAACTATTTTGTGAGAAAAAAAATTGCAAAAAATTATTTATAATGTAATATAAAACAAAGACAACAAGAACAAGTTTGGTGGACCTTGTTGTTGTCATATCATGATATTTCTTATAAATAAATTCAAAAAATTTGTGTATTCTCGGAAATGCAAGAATAAATACGCAAATCAGAATTTATTTTGTACGTAATTTTTATATTTTACATAAACAATAGTCACAACGCTTGCGAGTATATCAAATAAAGAAAAGGTAAGAGTGCTGAATAAGTGCTGAAGATATGCGCAATTTGGTAATATCACAGATACAGTGCTGCGTATATTCTTTTATAGACAAAAGCAGAGAACGAAATGAACATAAATGAAGCCAAAGGTAAATGTCTTCATACTTTTGTGTCCATCAATCCAAAACCGTATATAATGCATTGTCATTTACTGTCAACACTTCTGATTCCTTCCCTCGTCTCGAAAGCTTTTTATTACCATGAAAGCAAGTGAAGAGAATAAATGCAATTTATGCATTGCCTTTTCACCTTCAGATACAAATAGCCCCATCCATTATGTTGATGTATTTATGAAGTGATTTCTTCTACGAATTTAATAATAACAAACGCAAAAAGTTAATAACAACAAATTTATAAGGAATAATAAACAATGGAATACATTTTAATAAAATAGCAGGGGAATGGATGTGCTCCTGGCAGTAAATTGCATATTTACTTTTAGCAGAAGTTGAAACCATTTTGTTCATAATAAAAATATATCAATTAAGGTCTTCTAAGAAACTTTAATTCAAAATTTAAGCAATATTTGCATAGGATTTACATAGATTTTATACTAGGTGGGATGAGGATTTCATAACAAAATTTACTAGATTTTACAATGGCAGCCGTGACTTTTGTTAATTAAACAGCACTTATTTTTGACCAAATGGAAAGTTTTTCCTTTAATATTATTGAAATAATCCAATAAGGGTAGGAAGTAATCGCCATTGGTAGTCTAGAGGTCATCACAATGAACTTCATCGTCATACCAAATGAATATTATGATGAATTCCAAAATATTACGATGGTTGCTTCTTTGAGTAAGTTTACAGTTTCCGGATACTAGATACAGATCCTGGATACAAGACACATATATGAATTATATCACATTAAACCCAAAATATTGTGATCAATATCTTTTCTGACCAACATTACAGTTGCTGCCATTCCCTGAGCTAGTTCATACGATCTAAAATTAAAATAATATTATATAAATTCTCGTATAGGTATGCAGTATAAACATTACTTTTCCGTTCAAATTTATAATTGTTACGTTTCTATGACCTAGTTTATCCGTTCAATGACATGAACCTTATCACTTATATCCTAATATAGTGCATTTCCTTGAGCTCATTAATCTGAGTTTTGGTCATGACTTGTAAGAAAAAAAAATAATAGAACACGAATAAATGAAACGACATCGTTGCCTATTCCTGAAATGAAGTTTAATATAAAGTTATAACAGAAGCACTACGCACAAACTAGGAAAACAGAATCATATATATTCAATAAAATGTATAGCAATCATCCTGCCAATAGAACCCCTGTATTGGTTAACCATTGTAGAAAATTTTTAATGGATAACTAACACAGAGACGCTACCTTAAAGTATTACCGATAAAGTTCCAGGATGAAAACGGTCTAAAAAACACAATCAAAATTGTTTTTAATCCGTACAAACCGGGTTTATCACTATTGTCGTATAGGGATTGTGATCATCTTGCCAATACCATTCAGTACCCAATTGTTTATGCAAAATTGATTTAACTGATTTAACTGGTATATAATACCATATACACATACTCTGGAGAATCACATACTTATTTTTGGGATATATGTTGATACCAGACTCTATATATTATATGCAATAAGTTTATGACTCATTTATTTATGACTCAATCTCAGTAATATTTTCACAAGTGATTCAACTAAAAATCCCAAATTTCTTTTGTTAACAATGAATGCGTTCACATTGAACAATAAAAAAATGTAATTATTCAATCAATTTATTTACTGAGATCTTTAAAACAGTAGTGATTAACAACAACAAAATTTTATTATTCATTACTTAATTGAATATTTAGCTGATCATACTGCTGCATCGCATAATGCCAAATACCCCATCATCAGTGATCTCGGAATTATTTTTTGTATTTAATTATTCGTAAATAATTTTTTTAGGCTGAAAGCACCAATGACCAACTCGGGCCCTGCCAAATTTGAAGCTCAGAGTCAGTGTTAAGTAACCAACCGATCCAAATCATTGGAGTTTTTAATTTATTGTAAAACTTTATTTACAAATCCAGTTGCTAAGTTATATCGGAACGAAATCATGAACCAGAAATAGTATAATTGAATTATTAATTCTTTTTATTTTTAAATATTAAATTATTATACTGTTTTTTTTTATTGTAAAGGCATTATTTCTTGCATTATTCCTAGTGTATAAATCCTTAATTGGGAACTTAACGTAAGGAAGTTATGTTAATGTTACTCTACGATTCGCTCGAGCGAAATTGCCTCTCTATTATAACAATAGTTGCTATTAAGAGACATTGGTTCCTTCGTCATATTTGGTTTTAAATTTCAAATTTAATATAAACTTATTTCGTTTTTGATTAAGCTAAACTCAGGAATTGATCTCATTATTAAACCAAGCCATTTCGTTGAGAGCTGTCAGAAACAATAAATTTAAAATTGCTTTGCCATGTGAAAAATATATTCAAATTACAATTAATAATTCGCAGAATTTTGAGAA